ATAAAATAAAAAATTTATATCTTTATGTTTGAAGCCTGAAATGTGGCAAAAGGTTGAAAAGTTCAAGGGGGCCGAATACTTTCGCAAGGCACTGTAAGTGTAAGGAATTATTATTATTAAGTAAATCACTTACAGGGCTAAGAAAAACATTTGTGAACATCCTAGGTTAGCCGGTATTGTAGATAACTTCAAATGTAATTAGCTTTTAATGAGAGTCTTCATAAAAATGAATATAACCTGATTAAATGTGTAACACAAAGGCATAAAATGTGTTTTAATTATTTATGTTACCAAACTAAAATGTGACATTTTTTCTTCAGCCATTCTGCTGTAGATCTGCTCGTATGTTTAGAGATCATAATTTGGGTGCAAAACTAATTTTTGTCTCAGCTGTAATTCTCAGATGGTGAGATGGATGGTGTGACTTTCTCCTATAGAAACATGCTTCTTTGTTAATATGATACTACACTGAATGCACAGTTCTTATTGATGATGACAAGCTGTCAAGTTCCAGAAGCAGCAATACAGCCCCAAGTTGGAAGTCTTCCCCGTTGGAAGACAGTATTTCATTTTCAGCACACAAAGTATTTCTCATTCTGGACAAAATATTTAATTTATGACTTGTCTGATCAGAGAAAAATCTTCCAGTAGTCTTGTGGATCCTTCAGGTGCTCTAAGGTGGCAGTGTTCTTTTTAGAGAGCCATGGTTTCTTCCTGGCTATCCTTCAGTGAAAACAATTCCAGTATTTTCTTGACAGCTGAGGCAACACAACTGATATTAGCCACAATAATAGAGGTCTGCAGATTACGCTGGGATTCTTTATGACTTCCTGGATGATCTATTTGAGTTGCTCTTTGGTTGTTGCAGATGGATGAAGCCCCAGATATTTAGAAATTGTTTTTGGTACCCTCTCCAGAATGATGAGAATTGTTTACCAAAGAAGAATTTTGGTTAAGAAAAGACCATTTTCAATTAAACAATGGTAGAGTGTTAAGAAATTTTACAGCAGTTCGGATAATAACATCAGGGTTCACATTTTTTGCCAGCTCTCTATGCTACACTAGCTAGTACTAGAAATACTAGCTATTATATACAAATCCTTAAAAAAGTTGTTAAAGACACCAGGTGCTGCAAAAATTTCTGTTGTTGTAAATTGTCCAACAATCTGGCCATGACCATATAAAAAAAATACTTTTCAGATTGATCTATACTGTAAAAAATGTTTAAAAAAAATTGAAGTGATACAACAACACACATAGGAAAAAGGAACAAAAAGTAAAGAAAAATAGGTAACTAAGCTTGCTATGAAAAGAGAGAAAATCATCTCCACTAGCACAGTGCAGCTTAGCTGTGCTTCTTTCTACAAGAACAATACCTATGATTGAATGTAACCAGGTCAGAAGAATCACAATCTCCACCCAGTCCCACAAATATATTTTTTGGCTTCAGTTTTGTCTGCTAGAAGACAGACTAAACTAGGAGCTATATTTGAGAAGGAACAGCCTGGGACTTACTGTCTATACACTCAAAATCACTTTATCACAGAACACTCCCAAGATGCAAAGATCGGTACTGCGCCATCATATGACATACGGTATACCATCTCATATACTGTATATACATTAGAATGGATTAGAATGGTACTAAATGTTAATGGGGAGAAAAACATTCCTCTGGATCCTGAATCCTTATCAGGATTACCATTCATATGCACCTATAATTGTGGCTGTGAGGGAACTGGTCTTAGTAGTGCAAAAAAGTCACACATGGGAATAAAACTGCAATTTTTCTAGTGATTGTTCAAAGAAGGTAAACACCAGATGAGAGGGAAAAGTACAAATCCCTTACACCCCTGTTTACAGTGTTAAGAATATAAATATACTGTATGATATATAAAACATACATGATCAAGTGCTAAATACTATTCTTCCATTACCCTTTTATAAAAAATAGAAAAAATACAAAAGAATTCAGTCATTTTTAGCTCAAATTGTATATATTTCATTAAACAACTGAATTAAGTAAAACTGAGTTTTGTTTGACTGTAAAACATTCATCCCATTTCATTATACAAGTAAATGCTACATGGTAAAAGATGGCACTAACAATTAATACTACTGAATTCAAAAACTATTTGAGATTCATCTTTCTGCACCTAAATGTTGCACACAGAGAGTATTTTGAATGGATTAATCATTAATAAAGGCAATGGGATCTTACAACACCTCAGCTATCATTTCTATGCTGATGATACTCAAATATACATCCATACCAAACCCGACACTGATGTGGTTGTCTCTATTCTATCTAATTGCATCTCTGACATAAAAACATGGATGACTCAAAATTTCCTTCATCTTAACTGTAACAAGACTGAAGTCATGCTTATTGACACCCCCAATCAACTTCGTAAAGCCAACCCTGTAACCCTATCTGTAGATGCTTCTGTACTTGAACTTCAGTCTAAACTGAAAAACCTTGGGGTGATATTTGATTCTTGGTTAACATTCGACCTATATGTGCAGCATATTGTCAAAACATCTTTTTTTCACCTCTGAAATATTACTGGACTACGCCCTATGTTATCCCTAACTGTGGCTGAAAAGCAGATCAACACAATTATTTTCTCTCGAATTGACTACTGTAATGCTCTATTCGCTAGGGTATCTAAATCTACTTTGAGCAAACACCAGTATGTCCAAAATTCAACAGCCAGAATCCTGACCAGGTCTAGTGCAAGTGATCACATTACTCCTATCTGGGGTCCTTACACTGGCTTTCTGTTAAATTCTGTGTGGACTTTAAAATCCTCATGCTCACCTATAAGGCTCTGCATGGATTGGCACATCAGTACTGTACCTGTCTGAACTATTATCACCCTACTCCCCACCTCGCAACCATCGCTCTTCTAATTCTGGTCTCCTTACTCTCCCCCAAGCCCATCTACATTGTATGGGTGACAGGGCCTTCTCCTGTTATGCCCCAAAGCTCTGGAACTCTCTGCCCAAGGAAATCAGAGAATTCTCTAAACTAGAGGAGAACTAGAAGAGCCTTTACTTAACTGGTTCCATTCCTTACCCCTCTGCTTCTACTTTTCTTAGTACCACCATCCACGGTCTCCTCTGTATATTTTAATTCTGTTTTATCTTGTGTATTCTTTTTATTTACTGTTGTTGTCATTCTGTAAAACACTTTGAGAAGCCACCTTTAAATGCGCTATATAAAATAGTGTTTATTGTTATTTATTATAATAATAATTATTATTATATTTAGTACTTTATTGAAAAAAATGATCTCTCCGAATTTCATATGACATTTCATATGTGTATAGCACAAATCCAACACTTCTAGGGAGGCAATACCCATGGCAGTACAGTGGACAGTTTAAGAGTATGGAGATGCACTCACAGGCCAAGCAGAGGCAGGGAGTGAAAGACCCTCCAGCTGACATGCTCCAGGGCATTGGAAGCCAGATTGCTGTAAAATAAAAGTGGAGAAAGGGTCAGAGGCCAGCAGGAATGACACACAGTGTTTTTATTGCAGTTGAAAAAAAGTGTTTAAATGTATAAAATTGATGGATGGATAAATAAAGTCTTCAGAACATTTGCTGTTGGTCCTCTTGGATCACAAATAGTACAACACTCCATCATGCTATGCCATCTGGAAAATAAAATGCTTACAGTATCTTAGTTCCCAAACAAAAAGTGACCCCAAATACACTCTTAAGCAGATGTATTATTTTTTTGTATGCCATGAATACATTTCTGTATGATCTTAACAGATTTCAATATGTTTGTCTCTCTGTGCGACAAAAATAGAGATGTCCTAAAAGAATTACAGTTTTTATACAACATTGTTTTCTTCTTTTCACATTCCTATGTTGGATCTTGCTAAATTTACATTTAAACACGTGAGAGCATGTTTTACTTTGGAGCAAACTTGTTTTGGGAGTCACTCTATTCGTTTGAATGAGGCTTCTGGCATTACAAGGGTGGCTGAGGGGACAACACACACAATAGATATTATTGTTAAAGCAATGATCAATATTCAGCAGCTGGGACAGAAGGCAACAAGAAAGGTTTCATAAATAAGGAGAGATCTTTAATTTTGCAGCCCCAAAGATTCGTTTTTTATTATTAAGAAATAAATTCATCAAGCCAATTCTCAACATGATTTTCAAGTTTAAATAAATTCATAATCTCTTATATTTTGGGAATTGACTTTATTTCCACTTGTTTTAAACAAATCTGTAACATTTTAAAGTCAGTAATAAAATCTGAAATTGGAGCAATTTCATAATTTCACTTGAAGGGGCAAGGTTTTAAATGCAAAATGTAAACTATCGTTTTATTATACAGTAGTAAATACCATTAAGAAACAGTGTCATAGTTTATTAAGGCACTCCCATTACCCAAAACAGCCATATTAAAATATACAAACCAAATTGTAAAAAATAATGAAAATGTGCAGTAAATGTGTGATTTATTTATAAGGTTATAAGTTTATGAAGACGGTAAATAGTATTTTTTTTCAAAATACCATTCATTCCATTAAGCCCGTTTGACAGAAGCTCACTGATGGAAGGACAGACGTTACGTGAAAGGAGACAGTCCATCAGCTTCAGTGTACCAGTATAGACCACTAGGCTTACGAACAGCTTCTACCCTACCACAGCTAACTGCAATGCCTCAGAGCTCAATGCTTGTCTGCACTATGCACTTTTTGCATGGAATACCATGTGTTCTTTCACTACCACCACTACCACTGTATTTATTGTTCTCTACAACATATTTATTGTTCTGGTTGTTATTATTTATTATGCACCATTTAGTAATGTACTGTCTCCATAGTGTGGTGCTGTCTGTTGTACTGTGTTCACTGTATTGTGTCTGTCCTGAGAGATTGGAGAGAGTATTCATATGGCAATAAACTCCTCTACTCTGCTCTCAACAGAGTGGCTGGGCAGATTGTTCCACACTCTTACAACTCTCTGGGTAAAGAAGTGCTTCCTGTTCTTGGTTATACTTTAAAGTAGTTTCTACTGTACTTGTGCACTCCACTCTGTGTTTAACCGATCAATGAAGTCATATGTCAAATCCTAATAAAGAAAAGATTAAAAGTTTATATCAAAATATATGGGAAAATACCCCATCCAAAAGAAATGTTATGAAAGTAATTACTTAAGATAATTATGCTAAATTTAAAAAAAAATCATAAAAAATAGTGAAGACTGAATTTAAACCTGAATTGAATCTTAACCTCTAGTGTAAATTATTTGTGATGATGCTAGGTAATGCTCACATTGTTTTATTTTAGTCCCACCAGCTATACATCAGTGAGTCAACAATTTTTTATTTCTTTGGTCATGAAATAATTAAATGTAATTGAAAAGTAATTCAGAGTACATATTTTGAAAACTGTATTAGGATACATCAAAGTAAAAAATATTTTCTTTTACAATTTATTATGTAAATGGATAACACTGGAATTATAAAGCTCTTGGCTAAACAAAGGTTATTAGATTTATATTTATAGTATGATACTGCAAATAACTTTATATCTTAAATAATCTTTAAGTAAATATTACCTTCACAAACCATTTCATATAGAAATGTTTGTTTGCTCTGGAAAAAAATCAGTATCTTTTGAATTTTGACTTACTGTGTTAAGTCAGTATATTGACATTCCAAAAAACAGAATGAAACAAAATTGAAAATTAAAACAATCTGCAGCTTTAAATATGTCCTTTATATTTAAAATATAAAATAATATATATAAAATATTATTTTAACTCCTCTTGTGCAAACTACAAAACAATTTGTAGTTGTTTTGTGAGTATTATGTGAGGATTATGTGAGGATTAATTGAGTTTCTCTGTCCACTAGGCCAATATAAGATATTTTCCATAATCTCTGTACCATATGACATACTGTATAAGATCAACACAAGGGCTGACATAATGTACAGTATCTCTTTGTAATACATAGTTATCCATATCACTGCATAATAAATGAATCAATCATTTCTTATTTAACAGTGTGTTTTAAATTTTTTGGTCTTTTCCACCTGAAACAGACCACAATCAGCATTTCTAAAGAATTGTGAAAAAGGATGAAGCAGTGTACTGTATTGGACTCTATAAAGCCTTTACATGTAGGTCACGTCAGGGCTAATGCTGGGTTGGGGGCAGGGAGTTAACTTATTTGTTTTCCTGGCTGCAAAGGGTTCACATCAGCAGGTTAACCATAAGGGCCTATCAATTATCACCAGCTCAATTCTGTTTAAAACCCCAGGGAAAAGTGAAGAAAGAACAGGCTGTTATGAAGGAAGGGCTGGCACTGTTTCTCTTTTTGACTTTGTCGTATAATAAAAAATAGAAATGGTGTATGGAGGAATTAGGGCAACAGAGGTTTTTTTTTTATAAGGTTACGGTAAATCAAATTGCACAACTCGCCCAGCCTACCCTTTCAAATCACTATCTCCCACTGTTTCCCATCAGAATGTTCCTGTCTCTCTCTCTCTCTTTCTGGTGTAGATTTTCCAGTTCAAGGGGCACATCTGTTGTAGTACACAACTCTGGCCCTCTGTGCACTATCGATTAAGCGATAATGGACCCTTAGTGGAGTGTATTTATTATGCATCAATTGTCGATAATCTGCAGGAGTGAGTAAAAGGTGATGTCGTCTCCAAATACTCCAGACACCCCCCCACCCTCCTCCCATCTTCTTAACAACAAACTCCTGATGTTAAAGAGCAAATGTTATTTTTATATTTTGTTTTAGATTTTTATATTTTGGGGTTAGAAATGTATGGGGTTAGAAAGAATCAGCATTGATATGGGAATTTCAATCCACAATTGAAGTAAAATGTACACAGTACTGTAACTTGTAAAACCTCCAATTTACATCACAAAAATAGACAAAATTCCCAGCTATGTGCTGCGCTTTATTCTGTGATTCAGAACAAGGCAACAAAACTTCCAGTGACATGATTACACTATTACACTGTAAATAAGCAGGCTTGTGAATACATCTCTTTTAATCCAATAGAAATATTACTCTTAATTTCGAGACGGTTTTGCCAACCAATACTACTTATTTGTTAACTCTGCATGCAGATCATGTTGCACAACCTGTTCTTATTTGCTCTTACATTGCATCCCATGAATCATTTCAGTGACTAGTGAGCACAAAGGGCCGCATCACATCACAATTCGTGGCTACTTTCGCTCTCGCCCATGGTGAGAACAGGGTTTTGTGACTACATGGTGACTTACAGTATTTTCATAATGTTCAGGATTTTGTGCTTGATTTAAAAAAAAAAATTCTCAATGAATTTATTTTGTTACCGATATTTAATAAGCGGTCTGAGAAATTGGAACTGTGGTTCCACTTTAAGAGGGCTATTGAACAAACTTGGGGAGACAGAGAGACAGCGTTTGTGTCTTTTCACCTGCATTCTGGAATCGTTGTTCTGTTGTAGAATAATATGTGTATGAAAATTCCACACAACAGTGGAACAGTCTGCCATTGTTGTGCGTGGGACAACATAATTAGTGAACACGCAACATCATACATTATCACAAAGTGACAACACAAAGAAGAATATTCATTCATATATAAAAATAAAATAAATAATTTAAGATCTTCACATTCAAGCTAAAACAACATGTAGGAAATTATGTTATTTATGAGTGTACCATGTACATTTTTTCTCTTTGTAGAAAAGTATGACATAGTTGTGTTTACATTAGTAAGTATTGTGACTGTGCTGGATTGTGTTTTTAACATCTGAGAAGTCAGGAGTACAGATTCTGAACTGTGTTTGGTAGCATGTATACCACAGCATACAGTAATATCAGAAGCTGTCCAATTAGCTACTCAATCCATAATATCTGTGCTTGTGTAAACACAGTGTATATTCACCATTGTGTAGAGATGAGGAGCATGGAGACAGTTTGGCCTGAATGGTGCTGTTAATGGAGTGAGATAGAAGGAGGACATACAGAACTTGAAGGTTCTTTTACTTGCTTAGGAGTTAGGGCATCCAAATCATGACTTTGTAGGAAAAAATTGAGATAGAAGAAAACAATTTTGTGAAAAGTAAAAAATTCCATATTGTTAACTTACACATATTGAAGCTTGGGGTTGTGCTGAAACGCCCCTAAGGAGATATGCACCAATCCACAAAAGATAACTGTTCTGGAAAGAGAAAGCACATAATAAAGTGAAAAAGGAATTCACTATGTTCTCAGTTGTCTTGAACAATGTCAGTTATTTCTTCCTCTCATTTCTAGAGCCTACATTTACTCTTTAAATTAATTTTGAACAGGAATTAGGATATACTACCAGTACAGAACTGGAAGTTCACAAAGTATTAAAATAATCTCTCTTCTGAGCCTGCACTGTTAACATTCAAGTTTTAACTAAATTGTAAAGACTTATGTAAAAGTCCCATTTTTGGAAACACTGGATTCTGTTAAATGCCATTTTTAACTTAATGTGCTGTTTTTCCAATACCGTGTTGTGTTCCCTTCCCAGGTGAAGGCGCTCATTTCTTTGTATCTGAACCATGATTGAAAACAATTCAAGGAAAAAGAAGTTCAGAGAAAGTGTGTGTGCATTCCAAAAAACAAAACAAAACAATGGAAAAACATAAATGATGATGAATGTGAGAACAGGAAGCATATAATTTGGTTTGGGGCCAATATCTACACCACTCAAATCAAGGTACTGAATTTTGTAATTGTGTGAAATTTTAATTAAATCCCAGGACATTCATTCTTTTCAGGTGTGAAAACACATTGTAGTATTTGTAATTTAGTAATTGAGTTTTACTGAACACAATGAAGTATTTAATTCAATTCATGAAATGAAGTAGGGAAAGGGGGGGGTGCTAATAATAATAATAATTTGTAAGTTGTTTGTGGTTATTGGTTCTATATTTATTTCAGGGGAAAGAACCCCTGTCAGCACCAATACCTTCAATACCTGACCGGGTGATATTTTTGTGTATGTTTTCTCTGTGTTTGCGTGGGTTAACTTCAGGTGCTTCAGTTTTCCCCCAAAGTTCAATGACATAATGTACTGGTTATATAAATTCGCTTCTAGGAAAACTGGTACTTAGTGTCAGTGTGTTTCTGTTTGTGCCCCGTGATGCACTGGTGTCCCATCCAGGGTGTACCCCATGTGCCCGGTGCTTGCTGGTATACGATCTCGGTGCTCTTCATCCACTGGATAAAGAAGTTATAAAATTGATAGACATGAACACCATTATTCTTGGCATACAGTACATATCTATTCAGTAGGCTATTGACCATCAAATCCATATATTCTATTAATCACAAGATTGTATAATGAAATTTTATTTACAGTATATGAAATATATTTTATGGGAGACTTCAGATTTTCTCTTAATCACTGGGAAAAACACAAAGGAATCCCAGCAGAAAAAAATGAAATGGTAGAGATTTTATATGACAGTTTTCTGTTTGTGTCCGTGTGTGTCCTGTGTTGGACTGGTGTCCCATCCAGGGTGTACCCTGCCTTGTGCCTGTTGCTTGCTAGGTATTATTATGATTCAGTAGCTCTTTAAGAGTATTAATGTGTGTGCGGAGATAAACTAATTATGAATAAAACTTGTCATGACAATGACTGATTCAAATACGCAAGAGATCACAGTGTTACAACAAGCCCACACATAGTCTACCAGTGCAATACGTAATGACACAAGGGATTTCAATTATAGGCCATTAACAAAACACTTATGACCATCACTCAAAATTCCTCATGTAGGACATGTTTTAAAAAAAATAAATAAAGCAATACACTTCTAGCACTTTTCAGGTTATAGGACCATATTTAGAACTAGAGTATTGTCTCTTTTTCAATAGGATTCTAGGGGATAACCAACATCAGTTTAAAAAGGTCTGATTTATCTTTTTCTATTAAGGTTTTCATTTTTTTTACATAAAAGATTAATACCTAGACTGAAATCAGCGTTCAATGTCATGCATGTATCTGGATTAAAATCTCGTTAATGCACACAGACTAGAAAGTACACATAAGTAATGAATGTTCAAATTTGGGTCAGAATTTGTGGAGCAACACAGGAGAGTAAAATAGGACCATAGGTTTTCCTATTCTATATCGATAATCATGACTGAATATAAAATCAGTGACATTCACAGCTAATATCAAAAATAGAGGATTAGGAAATTGGATTTGCAAAGCAATCTTAAAAAGATTATGACAAGCAGGGAAGATGACATTTAATGTAGGTAAGTGCAGAGTGTTTATAAAAAAAGATATTGCTCAGGGATTTGTCCAAGGGAACAGCAACCAGATACATTCCTAGATTCCTCATTTCTTGGTGTTATTATGCAAACATGTTTGGCCATATAAGAAAAAATGTAATTTGTAGTGTTTAATCCCTCCATTGCAAGTGAGTGATCGAATGTAACCATGTGATGGGGTCGGGAAAGGAGTCTGGAAGCAGCTCCTTATGCAAGTGGGCAATTAAATCCTTGCTACCAGCTTGCAGTACTCCTGACTTGTAATTATCCCTGGGAACCGTCCCATGTTTTTTTCTTTTTAGAAAATAAACTTTTAAAACGGAATCCCATGTCAGTTTCTTCTGTGCCTACCAGTTACAAGAGATGACTAGCCGTGAAGCTGACAGTACTGGACGTCATCACAGCCAGGCAGCACAGGGACTGTGACACAGACACCATCATTTGTTTATGGGAGTTGTTGTTCTTAAGCCAATGCTACATGTGGAACATTCATAGCCAGTTTTATATTTGGCTTCCATAAGACAGGGTTGCATGAACATACTGTAAGTATTGGTCTAAATTAACTATAAATTAAATTAAGCTTCTGTAACGTTTCCACCTAACATCCTGTACCTGTTACATGCAATTACTGCATCACGTCTGTGACCTGTTGACTTTTTATATCCCCTTGACATTTTATGACCCCTCAGATTTTTTATGTCTTCTTTAGAGATATTTTTCAAAGGCTTAACTGCAGTCACTTTTAGTTGTTGCTTGTTTGTGGGGTGTTATGACTTTAGTTTCCTTGTTAATAAGTAAAATGTATGATCAATAGGATTCAGATCAACCAATTGACTTGGTTCAAAATTTCCACTTCTTCCTGATGAACTCCTTGGATAAGTGTGCAGTATGTTTGTGTCATTGTTGTGCTGCAGGGTCAACTGCCTCCCAATGAGTTTGGAGGATTTTTTGGACATGGGCAGACAAGATGTTTCTGAACATTTCAGAATTCATTCTGCAGCCATCATCAGTCACATCATTATTAAAGACCTGCTGGCCAGTTGCAGAGGCAGACATGCTTGTCCAAATAATAACACCACATCCTCTATACTTTGCAGATGAAGTGATGTTCTTAGGATCATTAGCTGTTACTCTCTTGCTCCAGCTCCTCATTTCTGCCTTTCTGTCACTTTGATCATCTCGTGTTTCTATAAAACTTTGTTCCATCTTTGTTCTTGCAAATTCTAATGTTTTTTTTCTGTTTTTAGTTCTTATGAGAAGTTTGCATCTTGCAGCATACCCCTTGTAATTATCTAGTCAATGTCTAGTCTCTAGTCTTCTCTGTTATATTAGTGATTTTGTTACAGCTCACAGCTTTTGAGCGTAAACTTAAAAGAATGAGACAGTTCTCTTATGTTTTCAAAATACTGCAAAATGGATGACCTGAGCGATAAGAAGTACCTGTCAATCATTTGTGCCAATATGTCTACTCACTTGAAATAGGGGGATTGAACACAACAAAAACACATTTTTCTAACATGGTTGAACATGTATGTAACATATGTAACATACAGGGTGCTGAAAAAGTAGGTGCACCTATTAAGTGTAGAATTTATGTGTGTTATTTGTCAGGCGAGGTTAGTTTTATTTACTATTAGGACATGATGAGGAACAGGTGAAGGTCAAAGATGTCTAAATATGTTGAACCATAAAATCTGAAAAAGGGTATACTTACTTTCCACCAGACAGGAACACCCAGAAACAAAAAAACTGAAATTCTACATTTTACCTTACTGCATATGAATCTTCCATTCATCCGTTTTGTAACTGCTTCATCTTATTTGGGGTTATGGGAGAGCTAGAGACTATTAAAACAGGCAACAGGTGCAAGGTAGGATACACCATGGATGGGAAGTCTGTCCATTGCAGGGCATATATTAATCTTTTGAGCTGAAATATAATTTTTATTAGTACATAAACTCTCTTCGCTTACTTCAAGAAATGACTCAATGAAATCTAGATTTATAATTACTGGTGTATTTATATAAGCTTAGTACAGTTCAATGCTTGTGACAGACTGAGTAAAATAATTACCAACAGAATTAAAAATGCAAAATTAGAAAAATCATTATGTAATAGCCTCTTACACTCTATTAATGTAATCAATTAATATAATCTGATTATCATACAAAGAGATGTAGATTATTTTAGATGTAAAATACAAAGATATGTAAAATAAAAAGATATGTAAAATAATCTATATAAAGATATATATATATAATGATATTCACAGATTTGTAGCATTAAAAATATGCCTCAAATGAGAAATTAAATATCTAATTTAATTACAGAAATATTTTACATTTACAGTAAGAGTTTCTTAAATTGTATTAATAGAAAATTAAATATACTGTACATCAGCAAAGCTTGTTACTCCCACAGATTAAAAAAAATATATTTTGAGATAATGTGTTATTTCAAAAATATATTACAGAATTTTGAAGCAAATGAAATAATGTAGTTCAAATGTTAAGCTTTTTCGGGGGGATGTCTTATTTTTTCTTTTGAGCTCTTTCAACACAGACATTTTTTGGCAAGTTTCAATATGAAACTCTGAACAAAGGGAGGCTGCACTTCCAATGCTGTAGAATAATCTCCCAGCTCATACCAGATCATAAAGCTTAACCCAATAAACACTTTCAAATCCTGTTTTAAAAACTGACTTTTATACACTATTTTTAATTCAGTTTAGCTGTATTGCTTTGGGTATGCCTGTCTCTTTTGCTTTATTGTACAGCATCTTGAGAGCGTACTGTACATCGTACTGGTAAAAGCAGGTTCCTTTTCATTCATGTTTGTGCTTCCTGCCATCGAAAAACTAGATGTTCCTTTTTCCTTCAAAAAGGAATTGAATGCACTGTATGAATGAATGTATGCACCAAGATTTTGTGTTCTATGTGTTTATGTATGAACTGAGTAAATGTAAACCATTGGTAAAAATGTGCCTTTTCTGTCACAATCATTATTAATGGATTCTTTTGACATGTTACAAGTTTTGTGAAATTACACAGTACAAGATAACATAATAATGCAATATTTATGTGTTTCTCTTCCACTAATAAGCTTTCACAGTAGCTGTATAAATAACACTTGGATATGAGTATATAGTATATACCAAAATGAGTATAGAGAATATTTGCCTCAGAGTAAGTATAATTCTTTGGGAAGATATTTTAGATTGAAAACACAGCAGTTGAACAAACTTACAGATTTTTCAGTTCCCTGTAGTTGACAAGGTCAGCTTCTGTAATGTTCTCCAGGTGGTCTTGGTTTTCAATATAGCTGTTTCACAGGGTACAGAAAAAGAGTGATAATTTTTAATACAACCCATGCAACAAAAAATTCAAATTAAATCATTATTTCTAATGTGTTCTGCACTTTATTATGTGATTTGTGTAATTGTAATCAAGTCACACTCATCCTATTTAGTGGTGACCCTTAGCAAAATCAAGCAGGGGTAGAATAAAACCAATTGAAAGAAAGAGAGCTCTTACTCAATGACATTTAATTCTACTGCTGCACATGTAAACTGAAACATTTTAAATATATATATGTATTGTGATAGGATGGCAGATCATGTCTAAACTACATCCCTCAGAAAACATGATCAAAAGACTGACCATCTTTCCTCAGTTACCCAGTTAGTGAGAGAAATACCACTGTTCATCATCCAGCTGATGAGCCCATGGAGGCTCTTTTTGGAATTGAGAGAGTCTGGATTTTGATAACATTTAAGGAACTTAGCTACATGGTTATATCTAGAGACCGCTTGAAGAAGTTATTTTTGCTGCATGTCAAAAGACAAACTATGCTATTGTTTGTGTTGTAAGTTTAATTATGCTATAAAAAGAGCACCATTTTTTACCATATAGCTGTGTGTGTATGTGTGTCTGTTTCCCTGAGACCCTTCTACTTTTAAAATATACTTGCTACTGCACCACCCACCATTCCTCTACTGTGCTGTATATATTGCCACAGGGATGGTAGCTGCCACTGTGGGCATGAACAAATTGTGTCCACCTCTCTAGACACACCCCTAATGTTGGGGAACTGTTTTGCTCATTTTTTCTACTTTTACATGCACTCTTCTCCGACAGCAACTTGGACCCAAGGCAAACATATTTCAAGATCTCTGAGCCCTTGCGGGCTATCAGGCTAAGAGGCTCCTACCCACACATGCCTGTGTCCATTCATTATCTCCTCTAAGATCATTCCTGAGGTTTACACACATTGCAGAACCCTTTCTCACGGATTCACGGGCTCGACTAACCTCACCTCCAGCTCTCACCCTTTGACTTGTCCCTTTCAGGGAACAGCAGTGGAAAATGCTCAACTCGGTCATTCCTGTTTGGCCACACCCAATCTATCATGATCTTTACCTTACTGGCTGTCACGCCCTCTGTAGCCAGAGGGCGCTCCTTCTCTGTCCTGTCCCTAGTTTCCGGTCTGCTGTCCTTCCTGTCCCTCTCTTTCCCTTGGGCTATATATTTCCGGGTCTTGCACTCTGTCCTCGCTCAGCATTGACGTTCGGATGTCCTGAGACACGCCTAGCACCAGGGTGCCCTACGTCCGCTCCCTGAGGGCATAGGTTTCTATACGGCATTCCTGAACTCTTTGCACTCTTCGCAATGAGCCCGGGCCTTTTTCCTGTCTCGCCGCTACGCATATGGGTCTTTATCCGCTCTCCTGCTCCCCACGGTTAGTCCCTTTGGACGTCTGTGACACCGGCAAGCTGACACAGCAACGACCAAGGCCTTCCCTGACCCCGAAGATATAATCTCTCTAGTAGTCTCCCTGCCTCTAGCCGCCACACATGGAGTTGTCTGCTCCCTTACTTTAATCCAGAGCCTCCTGCTCCCAGATGTCTCACATCTTAAACACCTTGCTCTTCTTTCTCCCATATGAAGCCTCTGCTCCCCTCCTGTCACATATCCCATGAAGGCTATGAGCTCTGTAACTTAATTAGCCCCTGGACTTCTAGGTCTTCCTCAAGCTGCTATTGTCACCACCTTCGCCACACAACACTTAAAGTCTCCAGTGCCTCAGATCCTAGCTCAGATGAGGTACTCTCATCAAACTGACAAACCTCTCTGACTCCTCACTCTTGCGTCCCAAGCTGTGCAACTCATAGTCGCTGTTGCACCTCACTATCGAACCCAGCCACTGCTGCCTTTACAGTTTTCTTACAGTTTCACACACTTACTTGCCCCAGTGGCACCCTCTCTCTGTCACCTCTTAATGAGAGCTCCTGCCCTCAGAGACTCCACACCCTTCATTTTTGCCTGCCATTATCCTGTAATTTGTGTACAGACATAAACACAGTCAACCCAATGTCTGCAGAATCAATTTTTTCTTTTAAAATTCTGATTCATATTTCAGTGTTGTTTCTGAAGAAAGACCTCCTCAATGCCTTTGAATACTTGAATAAATTCTCCTTGTCCTCTGTTCATCACTAAAGAGGTTCAGCTCTATTAGCCTGTCATTGTGAGTTGTGTCATTGTGAGTGCTTTGAGAACTGGAATGCATCTACTCTAATATTGACTAATTCCAGAGCAATATCTGCCTTCTAACATGGTGACCAAAATTGTTGTTGAAGGTAATACCCTGGCTCTTTCCCAGAAATGGCTGTATAGGATCCTCAGATCAATCAACTACTAAACTAAGCAAGTGTGAGCCTGGTCAGTACCTGGATGGGAGACCTGGGAAAAACTAAGGTTGCTACTGCACTATATGCCCCAGTATAGTGACAGGGAAACTATACTGTAAACAGGCGCTGTCCTTCAGATGAGATGTAAAACCGAGGTCCTGACTCTCTGTG